AGAAACAGGTGCTCTTCCATATGCGTATATGCATGCTCACTCATGCGCGAGTTGGTGACTTTACCGCATTTCTGGAAAATTTAGTGATAGCTGGATCTGACAAGCATAGCTAACTAGTTAGATGCTAGAGTAGGCCTAAAAGTTATAAAATAACTATAACAACCCACTTCACAATGAGCAGCTTCCGAGAGTTTCTTCTTGAAATACTGCGCGCCTCCCAACAGCATACTGATCTCCCTCAATTTCGCCATTTCCGTCCTCTTACTCTTCGATTTTGGTCTTCTCAAGCCAAATCGTGGAAATCGACTCTGGCGCTTCTTACTCTTCGTTTTCGCTGACGTATTCGATTCTCGCTCTTCTTCTTCATCCTCAAAAGGTTCTTGTTCATCTTCCGGCTCGGGCTCTTCTTCAGGTGCCGCATCAAGATCATCTAACTCGCCCTAAATCGGTTCAATCTCAGTATGGTGTCAAATGCACTTCCTCAATGTCGCTGTTTCTCAACTACCTGAAGATCTTGACCTAAATCTAACGTCAAATCGTCAACAGTATCGTCTTCATCTATTGTACTCTTCAATTTCTGAAAGTATATAGAGGAAAGTGTGAATAGGGATCGAGCATGTTAGCAATTCGACGTTAGAATTCACTGCATCACCACAAATTGCCTTCAACATAGAAATGAAAAATAAGTCGGAAACTTACCGCAGCTGCAGCTGAGCCTTTGCTTTTCCGCTTGTTTTCTTGAGCAAAGAGGGCTTGAAAACCAAAACACTGCTCCGACATCTGCTTGACTTCATCGGAATACTCCTAAACAAAAAAAGTAACATCCATAAAACTTTTAACATCAATGGAACTTTTATAAAACATCGCTCTCGAGGAAAAGGCACTCACAGAGCATTTTTACCGCAAAAATCAAGCAAAACAATAAAATTTCTAGCTCACCCCAATCCTATCCTGAACTACATCCTCTGTCCCGTGTTCTTTTTTGCCATGTACCTGTACAGATTGCGACCGATCATGTCCAAATCCGCAAACTCGACAAATGTACCTATTGATACCCATATCTTTGGCCATATGCCAAAGAATGTGAAAGCCACGTATCTGAAACAAAGATTCTGACTTTACTGGCCTTCAACATCGGATAGATCTGAGACTTACCCTATTTTGCATAGTCTTGTGGCAAAGGCGACACTCTAAAGGGTGCTCCTCATCAGGGATAGGTCTGGGCATTACTGTGGCCATCGACAGCGGCTTCAAACTCGATGCAGTGGAATTCCTATTGCTCTGCAATACAAGGAGTATAGAAAGCTTCTCGTTCTAGAATGCCCATATCTCCGTTGTCAGATTTCAACAGAGTAAAACAAGGAAGGTAAAGATTTGGAAAAGGAAACCCATTTATGAAAATACTTGACATAATTTTCAAT